GGGTGGTGGGACCCGAGTCATCTGTCGCCTGTAAGGGACCCTGCGCAGCCTGGGCCTGTGGAGTGCCGGTTCCTGCTGTCCTTGGCTGTCAGTGTCGTTCTGGTGGTGGCTGCAGTGTATGTGGTGCTTGGGGGCGACTGAGACCTGAACCCTGGAACTGGGACATGTGGGTGGTCTGTGTGGGGGCTGAGATTGGAGTGGCCCGTCCCCCTCAGTGTCCCCTGACAGCGGGGGTGGCCTGGCTTCCTGGGGTGGGAAGTGTTGTCTTTGTTGCCTTGTCTCCTGTCACTTCTCCACGGTGGGTCTGTCAAGGGGTTGCTCATTACCCTCCAGACTCCACAGGTACTCCTTTTAGTCACCAGACACCAAACTCGAGGCTCAATGTCACCAGGCACAGGGGACAGGGACACAGAGAGGAGGGCCCTTCTTTGCCACTTGCTGTGCTATTTGGCATGTTCCTTGGTTCTTGTCTGTCATTTCAAGTTGCCTGAATGCCAATGTCAAAGGTTTTATTTGGGCAGAGCCTGAATGGGAGAGCCCCGCTGTGAGGTGCGTATGTGCGTGTGCGCCCGCACATGCTGAGACACCCCTCTTTTCCTAGCTGTGGGACTGTGATAGAAATTTGGTGTAAATGTCCAACTGAGGAATGGATAAAGACGTGCTTTATTTGTATAGAGGTTTTTTTTTTTTTTTTTTTTCAGTACCGGGGTTGAACTCAGGACCCTTTGTTTTTGAGGCAGGCACGGCACAGCAGCAGAGTTACATCCCTGTCTGAAAGATGTTGTTTATTATACAATGGAATAACTCCTCTCCCATAATGGAGCTGCTTCAGACAATTCTAGCTAAATGGACGTACCTTGAGAACATAGTCTGATGTCAAGTCAGATGTACATGTTTAAATACCACACTGTTCCTCTGATGTGAGAAACAAAGTGGAAATAATGACTAAAATGTGTAACAGATATTGGGAAATGTGAAGAAAATGTTCAAGTTGGTAGGGGAACTAGGGAGCGGGTGGGGGAAGGGAAGGAAAAGAGAAGAAAAAAGTGAAAATCCAAGGGAAAAAATGGGAACAGGGGTGGGAATTTAGCTCAGTGTCACTACACCTGCCTCGCAAGTGCAAGGTCCTGAGTTTGATCTCAGGTGCAACAAAGGAAACAAAGCTTTTGTTCATAGAGAGGGGAAGGGTATGTGGGGGAGACGCGGGCTGCACCATGTAGGGGTTGCCAATTTCCAACATTGTTAGCATTTGTATGCCCGAAGTGCACCAATACATTTTGCTATTTAAAAAATAAATGTTAAAAAGAAAAAAGCTCAGGGCTGTCTTTCCTTGCTGTCTCTCAGCCTCTTGCCAGTCACCACTGAACCTGTATCTTCTTGTGTCCCACTAAGTTTTTTCACTGAGGCCACCCCCTTCATTGCTGTTTATGCCCCGATTAGGGGCAGCACCCTGAGACACAGCCCACAGATACCTGGGAGGCCAGAAGGGACCCCTGTTCACCAGGTTGCGGCCCTTGGTATTTGCATGAAGCTGATTGGTTGTGGGTGTGTGAATGGTAGTAGAATCCCCAGTGATGTGGCACAGGCCATCAGGCCCATGGTCACGGGACCGGGGGGCAGCTGCGAAGGGTAGTAGGCAGACAGCCTCAATGGGGTCATCTCGGTGGCATAAATCCCAACTACAGCCCCGAGAGTGTCTCCAACACCCAGGGCCAGCGTCCCTCTCACAGGGGACAGGCAAGATAAAAGCTTGAGCTGTGCTTCCCAGCCAACAGGAGAGGAGAGACGGTGGAAAGGGCAGGCAGCCTGCATGGCTGAGGAAGGAAAGGTCCCTGGTGCAGCTGCTTCCGGTGTGTGGTGGCCCAATGCCACCATCACCCTCAGCCACCCACCGACCTGGCGCTCCTGCACACCTCCTCCAAATGGTGACAGACTACTGCAGCACGCGGCTCTGTCCACATGCAAACCTGGCCTAGTCAGCGTTCAGCACAGCATCATTCACAACAGAGCCAGCCCTGATGTCCACCAAGTGACAAACAGATGACTACAATGCCGCTGACCTGCCATGGACTACATGGCCAGAAAGAATGCAATTCTGTCGGCTATGGGGATGAAGCTTGTATACTGTGCTAGGTAAAAGCACCCAGAAGAGCATGCCATGTGGCCTCATCCTTAGAGTGTAGCCCCAGCAGGGCATCTAATCTAACGGGTCAGAGTGGCCAGGGGCTGGGGTAAAGTGGGCTGTGGGCACAGGCCCCGAGTTGTGCTTGTTTGATGCACGTTCTAGCATCACGCTCTATCAACTTACCTTGATGAAATCCTCACAAGATCTCACTGAGAAAGGCTGCAAAGTGGGGAGAGCAGTGGGGTGCATCACACACCCCTGAGGACGGGGCTTTCATGGGGACCCTCAACCCACTTTTCCCTGGTCTCACAAAACTCACTGCCAGGTGTTGCTGCATGAAGTTTATTTGTCATTGAGAACTTGGAGCCTAACAGTTGTGACTAAAGGGGAGGTGCTAACTGGGGTGTCTGAGAATAGTAGAACTGAGGTTGGCCGCCACACAGGCATGTTACTGGGCCAGCATGTGCTTCACAGCCTCCGAGATTTGTCTGGAGCTGATGCCAAACATGCTGAGCATCTCACTGGGATGCCCGCAGCGAGGGGCGACCATGACAGGCGCCGCCAGCTGGTGCACCACGATGTCGGGCTCAGAGGAGACAGCTGCGCACACAGCTTCCCCCAGGCCACCTGGGGAAGGAAGCAAGGGACATCAGGATGCAGATGGACGCATGACAGGAGACACTGGGGGCCGCTCCGAGCGGATGCTGGGCCCCAGGGGTCTGGACTCAAGAGTCTCTGAGCCACCAGTGTGGACCTAAAACCACTGGACCAGCACAGGAGCTGTTGTGGGGACTTCCTGCCACACCCACTCAGCCTCCTGTTTCTTGTCACCCGCCCACTCCCCACCAGGCTCCTGACGCCCGCACCTTCCATGTAGTGATCCTCCACGGTGATGATCCGGCCACCAGTGGCCTTCGCGTTGCAGATGATGGTGGCAGCATCCAGGGGCTTGATGGTGAACAGGTCGATGATGCGGATGGAGATGTCTGCAGAGGAGCAATACCGAGCGGGCCGATACAAATTCAGAGGAGGGAATGTACAGGCACGGCAACAGGGGACCGCGCTTGCCTGGCCCACCCTGCACCACCGGATGAGAAAGACACATGGGCCGGAAATGCAGAGACCACTCTAGGGAACAGGGCTCTGGCTCCCGGGGTTTCACTCTCCACACACAACCCACTGACCTTGTCGGCAGAGCTCGTCGGCGGCCATTAAGGCTTCATGCACAGTCACCCCAGCTCCAATCACGGTGACTTTGTCCTTGTCACTGTAGCGGATGACCTGATGCAGGAGTGACAGAACAGAATTCTGTGATTCCATCTCCATCCACAGCTGTTTAAGAGCATTCTGGTTTTATGGGGGGGTACCAGGAATTGAACTCAGAACCCTGGGCTTACCAGGCAGGTGTGGTGCCACTGAGCTACATCCCCCACCGCGTGGTTCCATTTCAAAGGGGAGGGAGCTCTGCTACATGCTACTCCCCAACGCCAGGAATTCCATTCCTCAGAGTCCACTCATTAAAAGGCAGCTAAGATACTTCTAAAAGTCAGGACACTCCTTCCATTAGGCCTCATTTTATATTTGTTTTATACACTCATCTACCTCTCCTCATGATGTACAGTGCAAAATTATCAAGTTCTTATATAAGACAAGATGAACCTATAGTCAGCTGTGATGGCACACGCCTGTAATTCCAGCATGTGGGAGGCCGAGGCAGGAGGATCACGTTGAGTTCGAGGCCAGCCTCAACTGCACTGAGACCTGGCCCTACCCCTCCAAAAAATGACAACCCTCTAAAGGTCCAGCATTCACAGAGCCTGGCTTCCAGGGCCCAATGCCACAAAACCTGTGTGTGTATATGTGCACACATGCGTGCACTGACAGACACATCTATGTCTCCTTTCAAACTGAGTCCTTTACAATTACCATGCCATATATATGTTGCACACACCCTTCAACTACATTCTTTACCAATCGAAATTTTATTTCTTCTTTCAGGACCAAAATTTTTAGGAAAAAAAGCTGGGCATGGTGGTACGCACCTGTAATTCCAGCCGGGGAAAACTAAAAAATAAAAAGGGCTGGGGATGTAGCTCAGTGTAAGGCCCTGGGTTCAAGCCTAAGTATTGCAAAAAAACCCAAAGAGATGAGAAAGCTGTGCAAACCATGCAACTGTGAGACAGATGGTCCCCTCCGAGGTGCAGCTTTGGGTTTAGGCAGGGGCACAGAGCACACAGAACCTGGACTTCACACGGAGGGGAGCACTCCACCACTCCCTTCAGCAATGTTGCCATCAGCAGCCACTCGCAGCCCAGGCACAGCTGTCCTGAATACAGAGCTTTGACTCTGCAGCAGCCCGGCCCTTCAGGAGCAAGGTGGACGTTACCTGCGGATCCTTCACGAGTGCACTGCAGTAAGCATGTCACACAGTTAAGAGGAGTACCAAAGGCACGTGAAACTGCACGGAAGATACCCTAAAAGCAGGGCACAAATCTTGCACATCAAGGTAAAGGCAGGAGGAAAACCTGACCGACTGTCGGCGGCTGGCTGTCACGGTGGTAAGCAGCATCAACAACCTTTTCCATGCACTTCTCAGGCTGCCCTGTGTACAGCTGCACAGGGAGACACAGGAAGAGAGGACAGGGAGGCCAGGATCTTGGTCTTGGTGCTCAGGGCTGGGTGACAGCCTTTCCAGCAGGTGTACAGGTGAGGCTACACCCTTACGGGCAAAGGAGGCCTCCATGGGCACAATGTACCTGGCCTCAGGTCTGCGAAGTCTCGATCCAGTGAATCTGTTCTTCACTTGGACTATTATTTTATTAGCTTGAGGTAGGGACCAATCTCAGCCAAGATGTATCAGGGCTGCTTTCACATTATTATTACAGTAAGAGCTCAAAAAGGCCGGGCACAGTGGTCCACACCTGTAACCCTAGCTAGGAGGAGCAAGCTTAAGGCAGGAGGGTCGCACATTAGAGGCCGGCCAGCCTACAACTTAGTGAAACCCTGTCTCAAAAGAAATAGTTCTGAAAGAGGCTCCATTTGGAAAGGAGAAAAGTGCAGATCAAACTGAAATTATTGGACTATCCCTTCCTGAGGAAAAGCAGCCAAAGGTCACAATTGATTTTCTTTAAAGCAAGAGCAAAGAGGATGATGTGTCAACTGTAGGGGTGCCTGCCCTGAGATTTAAAACAAATGACACCAGCCAGCAATGGCGCACTGTGGCCCCTACCTTGGCCTGTCCGATCTTAAAGATTTCTTGTGGGCCGTAAAGAACTTCAGTTTCCTGTTGGCTGGTCCGAATGTAGCATAATCCCTAGGGCAGAAATGCACATCAGGACCAGAATTTAGAAAAAAGCAGAGTGTGAACTTCCAACTAATAAAGCACCAGCACATGGGGTGAGGAAGCCTGTGTACTAAGAGCAAAGCCTAGCAGGCTACACAGGCAGAAGCCCAAGCAGGAACCAGGCAGTTGCCCGTGGTGAACCAGCTTCCCACACTGTTAGCAGTGTCTCCACAAAGCATCAGTGCAGGGAAGGGGCGCCGACCCACATGGACGATAATGTCCAAAATGTGACACGCGTGGCATGCTTTCTCCTCAGAAACTGACCACTCACCCACTGGGATGTGAAAGGACCCATTTGCAATCACTACCAACTTGCACGTGCACAGATTTACCAACAGCTAATGTAAGCAACACAAATATGCAAATGATGCATTAGAAACTGAAGTGTCAATCAAAAAAGTGCCACTGCCACTGCCACATGAGGAAGCGGCTGGAAAATGCACCCCTGCTAAGCGTCACAGCCACGTCCCAGTGAGGATACGTGCCACTATCTCCGCCAAGGTTCCAACGGGATGCCCACTGGCTCCATTTCCCTGTCAGTGCCTTTTCCCAGTCCTCCACACCCTAAGATGCGACCTCTACTCTGATGTCTATCACAGCCTTGTGCTGCCTCTCGCGACCCTTCTAGGCATGGATGACGGGTGTAACAGTAGGGCCAGGTGCGCAGTGGTGGAGTGCTTGCCTAGCACAGCAAGGCACTGGAATCAGACCTAGGACTAAGCAGCAAGCACAGACAGTGCACTATGGGAGGGACCGGTCCACAGGCCCCCTCATCCCCAGAGGATCTGGGGAGCCGCGGTTTGTGTGGAGCACTCCCAGTCACTCACTCTCGCACCTTTGGGATTTAGGAGGTGTGGCTCAGTGAGGTGGCTTTCCTACCCTTGGCTTCAGTAATTATGGTGCCATTTTCTTTTTGAGAGATAGGACCTCACTACGTTGCAACTCCCGGGCTCAAGCAGTGCACCCACTGCAGCTAGCCTCCCGAGCAGCGGGGCAGGGGTGTGTCTAAGTTCACAGGGCCCATGGTGGGCGCAGAGGTGGCAGCCCCCCCACCCCCGTGTGCCCCGTCTCACCCCGAGCTCTGACTGAGGAGCCCAGGCCTAGCTTGGTGTCCTTGTGCACCATTTGTCTCTCACAATGCCAATGTGTCGTTTATGCACACAATCACCTGTGCTGCAATCCTAGCACTCTGGGAAGCTGAGGCAGGAAGACCACAAGTTTGAGACCTCCCTAGGCAACTTAGTGAGACTCTGCCTCAAAAAGGGAGGGGGATGAAGCTTGATCCCTTGTAGCAGAAAACAAAAACAAATCCAATAATCCTATCACTAGTTTTCTATAATGAATGTTACTTTGATGCTAGAAACAGTGGGGGGGGGATCCGATAGCCCCAAACTTGTAGCCGAGCTGAGATGCATTCTGTGTCTGAGCCATTGTCACCACACATACCTTGGCATTGGCGGCCAGAAAAACAGCATACTCTGTGGACACGGCATCACTGGGGTAGAAAATGGTGCAGTTGGGGAGCGCACGGAACATGGCCAGGTCCTCCAGGGCCATCTGGGTGGGGCCGTCTTCACCTGCAACAGCCACAGGCCAATCCAAAGGTGAGCTTGGCCCTAGAACCTCCACCCCACCCTGGCTTCTGGGGAAGTTCAAGGATTGCTGGGCTAGGGATTCAGATCAGTAGTTCCAGCACCTCATAAGCACAAGGACCCAAGTTCAATCCCTGGTACCAAAAACAAAAACAAACAAACAAACAAACAAAAAAGCCAAGTGTTGTTGCCCCAGGGTACCATGAAGTGTGCTGTGGCACAGCCCTAGAAAAGGTCCTCTGTGATGTCAGAGAAGCTTGTGTTTACTTGATTGTCCTGCATCTATGTCCCGGGAGTGCAGAAATACCCAGGGTCATACCTTTGCAATCCAGGAACTCTGTCCAAGTGGACTTCACATTGACTTCTGCCTCATCTGCCCCTCTTGTCCTTTTTACAGGAGGGTCCCTTCAGGCTCTGTCCCCACTTCTCTGCTCCTCTACCTTGCTCTCTCAAGACACTGCTTTCCTTATTTTGGGGGTACTGGGTATGGAACCCAGGGGTGCTCTACCATTGAGCTGCATACCTAGCCCTTTGTTTTTTTCACTATAAATTTTAATGTGATATAAAATGTTAGGGACATATATTAGAAAACAAAATATAGCGATCAAATTCCATTTTATAAATATTTTTGTGGAGCAAAGAGATTTCCCTCATATCTGCCTTTGTATTGTGTTTTGCCTTCTGAGAACCACACTAACAACAAATTATATAAAGAATATGTGTAGAGCTTCTTAAAATGATTCCTAGCCCCTCCCTTTCCTTTGGTCCGGGGATCAAACTTGGGCCCTTGTGCTTGCGAGGCAGGCGGCGGAACCACTGAGCTAAATTCCCGGTTCATCACCCTTTATTTTTAATCTTGAGACAGGATCTAGCTAAGTTGCCCAGGATGGCCTTTAACTTTTTAAATTTTATTTTATTTTTTGATACCGGGGATCGAACTCAGGTCCTTGTGCTTGCAAGGCAGGCTAAATCCCCAGCCCGGATGGCCTTTAACTTGCAACCCTCCTGCCCCAGCCTCCAGAGTAGCTGGCTGGGGTCACAGGCACATGTCACAGTTCCCACTGAGACACTGGGCATTTTCAGGTTGAAGTATCTCTTTCCCAGCTGCCCTTCACACAGTTTTGGGACACCTGAAGGGTTGCTGCTTTGACTAAGTGTCCCTTGATGTGAGTTGAAACACATTTCCAGCCATAGCACTATGAAGGAGGGAGTACAGTGCACAGCTGGGGGGACTGTCACCGTACACACTGTCTCAGCTCCACCTACAGCCCACCGCTCCCCATGGCTGATATCCAGGATCCTTGCCCGCTTGCCTGTCAGCCCTGAAATGTGGCTGTGCCTCCGTTGCCCTGGCCCTCTGACCTGCCCTGGCTCCCTGCGCCTTCTGTATCACCTATCTGGCTGTTGACTCCAGCCCTACCTAGAACCCTGTCACCCAATACCATGTAGCAGGCATCCCCAGCATTCTAGCAGCAAGTGCCAGCCACCAAGCAAGAACATCATTCTGAGGTGACCCGTCCCAAACAAGCACGCCTGCTGACTCACTTTTCCAGAGGACCCCCCACTCCCAGTGAGCTGCCCACGACTTGCTTGGCACACAGCTTTGAACCCTCCATCTGCTAGCTGAACTTCCTCCTCCTCCATACTCCCTCTGGTCTATTCTTGTGTCTTCCTTTGTCCTCCCAGCCCTTCCTAGCATGTCACTGCTCCTGGGGCCATGTGTCCCCCCATCCTGCTTCCCTGCATCATCTTCCTCTGGGGGTCCCACAGTGTCCCTCCCTTCCCTCTGCCTGGGCCGCTAATCCCAGTCAGACTGCCACCTCGTAGAAGGTGGAAATGGATGCTGGGGCTCAGGACAACAGTCTCCCAATGATTTGAGAGGCCACTTTTACACAACTCAAGAGCTGCCAAGAGTGCCCAGAGCATCTCAAGCACTTCAAACAGGACATGGCTCTCTATAGACATTCCAAGCAGTCCCACTTGAGAGGGGACCCTGAGAGCTGTTAACACATGAACCCTCCCCCTGCAACAGATGGGACATTAGCTCCCGAGATGACACACTCCCAACTCATACCCACGGATACTCCACAGTGGGAGCCAATGAGGCAGATGTTGATCCCACAGATGGCACCTACACGGATCTGGTCATACGCCCGGCTCAAATAGGCGGCAAAGGTGCTGGCAAAAGCAACGGTTCGGCCACGCATGGCGCAGCCCAGTGCCACGCTCACCTGCAACACAAAGAACACAAGTCAGAACCTCTTGGTCTCTGCTCCTTGCCCCTAGTGGCCATGGCACAGCCCCATAATGACCCCTACATTTTGCTTACACCCAAGTGCTCTGCAGTCTTAAGACTTTCTCGATCTGCTCCTAGGGCCTTGCGTACCTTCCTCTCCACCATGGTTGCCCTCACTGTGCACTTCCTGGGGCATGAGTGTCTCCTGTTGCCCTACTTTGCCCCTACCCTACCTGGGCCTGCCATGTCACTTCCGTCCTCTTGAGTCACTGATGAGGTCACCAATTGTGCAATGGCTCCCCACTTACTCAGTCTCCCCTTCTCTTGAATCACCCTGTTTCCACTCACATATACACAGGTGCTCCTAACACTCTCCTATCGAACCCTGCCCTCCCTCTGGAGACTGCCCCACATCTCTGTTCTCCTGCAAGTGACTTCTCAAAACATCACCAGTCCCTGCCCTTCTATCTCTGAGCCTATTCCATCTGTGCTGCTATCTGTGCCTCAATATAGGAGTGTCCCCTGCCCTGGGGTTTCAATCTCACTGGGTCTCTCAGGAGCACCCAGCACAAGTCACCCTCTTTTCTCAAGGCACACCTTGTGGCCTTCTGGATTTGCTGCAAGGTGGCCTGTGCCACGGGCAGCTGGATACTGTGTCTGGGAAGCCATACCTGGCCCCAAACTGCTTTGACCTTCATATGGCCTCTACTTTTTTCTATCACCATTTCTTATCTTCTCGGTGGTCACTAAAACCCAAAAGGCTCCTATGGACATGACTTCCCTCCCCTGGAGCTCCAGAGCAGCCTTTAAACTAGAATGCAAACACCTGTGAGAGTAAACAAGGCCTTTCCAAGGGGCATTCAAAGCAATCAGGTCCCACATTCACCCCTCAAGAGAAGGGCCTGTGGCTGCCTCACCCACCATCCTGGCCTGGCCCACTTTCATCTCCCAGTGGGTGCTCGTCTAGAATGCAAACTTCTAGTTGGAACTAAGGCCCACAACAGGAAATGATTATGCAGTACTAGGCACGCAAAGAACTAAGATGATCAGGTAATAAATCCTTTCCCAAGCCAGGTGGTTTCCAATTCTTTTAGCAAAAGTCAAAGAAAAGGTAGTAGATCTAATGACACTAAATAATCTTTTTTTTTTTTTTTTTTTTTTTTTTTTTGCAGAACCAGGGATCTAACTTAGGACCTTGCACTTGCCAGGCAGGTGCAGTGCCACTGAACTACACCTCTGGCCTGATATAAATAATTTTTATAAATCACTTTTTCTGTTGACACAAAGTCTCTGCTGGTTGGCCAGGCTGGCCTTGAAATCACAATCCTCCGATCTCTGTCTTCCAAATAGCTGGGACTACAGGCATGTGTCACTAAGGCACAATCTGGCTACAAGCAACTTTGAATGAAAGATCGTGTGATTTTTAGTTTGTAATGAGGAAAGAATTCAAGGAATTAAATGGCATTCTTGTAACAAAACTTCCATTCCCATCTACTTATTCATGTACGATTTCTTAGTATTTCTATCATTGAAATGAAAAATAAATAGAATCTGTTCTCAATCTTACCTCATTAAAGTAGCGAGTATATTTATCTACTGATGTATATAAACTAATAATAACCATAGCTTAATCGCAAGGAAAAATTCTAATGTTCAGAGGTCCATGGTTTTAAAATAGCAACTTTTATGCATATTTTTATTGCAGAGGAGAACAGAACAATCAATAAAAACCTTTCGTACATATTGGGGAAATGGAATACAAATAACAGTTCAAGTAGAAAAAGGGAAAAGTGACAAAGGAAAAGTGTCTCACAGTAACTTTTGGATGACTTATTAATTCAAACTATCGAACATTTTAATAACTGGGCAATGACATCTTTTCCAACTACTCCAATTTGTGAATAAAAATTCAGATGGTATATTCATAAGTGAAATAAACTGGACACACATGTTTAAATGCCACATTGTTTCTCTGATATGAGAAACCAAAAGTGGAAATAAGGACTGAGATGCATAATGGATGTTGGGAAGTGGGAAAGGGAATGAGGAGGAGGGAGGGAGAAATGAAGGGACAAGGAAAAAAGTGAAAATAGAAGGAAAAAATGGAAACAAAGCTTTTGCGCACAGGGAGGAGAGGGGGCTTGGGGGGAATGGGATAAAATAAAATTTATTAACAACAACAACAACAGCAAATCCAGATGGTAGACTGGGCATGGTGGTGTGGGCCTGCTGTCCCAGCTACTCGAGTTCAAACTGGGCAACACAGTGAGATTGCGCCTCACTAAAAAACTGAGATGTTAACTATGAAATCTGACAGAGGGATAGGATATGCAGCTTAGAAAAGGACACTTGGGTTTGAGAGCAAATATAAAGACACCACTCTCTGGCTCATAGCTCCTGATGGTGCCCAGAGTCCATTCATCCCCAGGCTTGTTCAGGCCACAACACTGGCCCCTGGTGTTTAGTGGCCGATACCTGGCCCCTGGCGCTTCAGGGAGACACAAAACTTTCTGTGCAACCCATTCCCTGCCTCTGAGCTAAGTGCTGCAGGGTTCAGGCAGGGCCAGTTCTGCTCAAAGCCCTCCTGTGGATTGCCAGCAAACTGCAGAGGAGCTGGGATGCTGTGACTTTTCCCTGAAAATGCTGTTTTCACCACCTGGCCACATTCCTTCCCTCCACTCCTTAAGCACCAGGCTCCCCAGGCCTCCACTGGGAGTACCATCATCCATGTCTAATTATGAGTGAGTCCCTGGGGGCTTAGGCTGGACATCCCTTTCCTGACAAGCTGTCCGTGGCTCACCCCTAGCTTTTCCTGCGGCCACCCCTATCTCACCACCACCTGCTGGCCTCTCTGGTACCAATTCTTCCTAGTGCCAGCATGCACAGCACATGGCTGCTGGCTGGAGGACTAGTGAGGTAGGGGAAAGCTTTCTGACAAGTAGGCCCATCCTTCAAGTTACAGGCTGAATTTTCTTTCTTTTTGCCCCAAAATAGCTAATGAAGACAGCTTACCGAGATCCAGAGATGCTCTATCACTGAGCTACAACCCCAGTCCCTTTTTATTTTTTGAGACAAGGGTCTTGCTAAGTTGGTCAGGCCAGCCTTTAAAACTTGCAATTCTAAGTATCAAGGACTACTGGTATGTACCACACCGTGCTTGGCTTTTAACTATATGCATTCTTGAGGATCCACTTAGTTTAACAGATGCCTGACTGTATCAGGCCCCGTGCCACAGTGGTGAGGGAGAAACCTCGTTCCGGGTGGTTGTAGGACTGCCTAGCTCTTGCTCTAGAGTCTGCTGTTCCCTGGGCCATCCCAAGCCCCTGCGGCCGGCACACTTGGAAACCATCTCCCTGTGTCTGGCTCCTTGCCTGTTTGCCTGGCGGCTTTTTGGAGGAACAGCTGCCACACAGGTGGGCTTCTGGGTCCAGTGGACCCTGATGGTCACTGAGAAGACATGAGAGGATCCCATAGACACTCACCATGTTTTGTTCAGCAACGAAGCACTCAATGAATCGCTCAGGATGTTCCTTCTTAAATATATTGGAGAAGGTGAAGCTCTTGGTGTCACTATCCAGCACGACAACTCTATCATTCGCGTAGCCCAGCTTAGCCAGAGCCATGCCGCATGCTTTGCGAGTAGCCATCTAGAAGGGTCAAGTGGCAAAGTTTCTTTGAATGTACTCAGAAGAATGATATGTTATCCATCTTGAAGAAATTAAAATTTACCATTGACAAATAATCTTCCTTAACACTATAAACATGGATTGTGAGCCAATTGTAAAAACACAAGGCTTATGATCGATTTCTCAAAATTCCATCTCACACATGGGTAATATGGTACTCATCTTTTTCTCAAATGACGTGTTTTTTCAGTTCACATACTCCTAAGCCCCACTTCCCAAGCAGGAAAACACTCTACAACTCAACATATTTCAGACATTAGCAATTCTCGTTGTAGTTTTCAAGGAACTTTGCTATACTCATTGATCTATTGTCTAAAATTCACGGACAGCATTTTATTTGAAACACTTGCCTCAACTAAATTTGCTCTCTTTGTCCCATCCAGGTAGCTTACTATTCTTTTTTCTTTACACCCCCAGGCCTTTTTGAGACAAAGTATGACTAACTTTCCCAGGCTGGACCCAAACTTGCCATCTTCCTGCCTCAGCTTCCTGAGCAGCTGGAATTAACACCATGTGCCATCACACCCACCAATGTAATTCTTTTCAAAAGGACTGGTTTTTGTACTTCCCTGTGTAATCCAGACAGGAAATTAAAAATAAATCAGCCAACCCAGGCTATCTTTCTTAAGAGTAGACACAAAATAGTGGCAGTTTTGTGAATAGTGGACCACCAGGGCACCATAAAGCAAAATCAGGAAGCAAGAAGCAGCCACATAGCACAAGGTGTTAACAAATACCAATTATCAATGAGAAAATTCAGAGGTGGCACAGGCCTGTAATCTCAGCATCAGGGAGGCTGAGGCAGAAGAACTGTGAGTCTGAGGTCAGCAAGATTTTGTCTCCCCCGCCCCCAAATATCAAACCTAAGTGTGAGAGCAAAGAACAATCCAAGACAGTAAGAGAAGGTAAATCCATTTTTACTGCTAAATGCTAAGTAAATGTCACACTGTCTAATAACTGGTTTATTCAGAGATCAGGAAAAATAAAGAATCCTGTGTATTTAGGAAGCCAATCACAGCATAAAGTATGTTGCTGTGCATAAATTAGTCAATCACCCATGCTTTTGCCTACCATGTCACCAACTTCGTAAGCAGGAAGAGTGGTCATTTTTATATTCTCGATGTTGACTTGAGGCGAGTCCTCAATGGGGTGTTTTGGTGTAAGACTTCTGTTAGTCTGTATCTGGCTCCCAATTAATGTGATAATTGCATCTGCTTGCCCTTGTGGCATTGGCTTTCCATGCCAACTTTCTGCATCCTCAGCGCCTGAAACAAAATGCAAAAAGCCGTCCATTCCAACCTTTTAATGGATGCCTATTAGGTTCTCTAAAACATTCTGATGCAAAAGGTACTGGTCTGGGGCTCACAGGAGTTAAGAAGCTGGCACAGAGGGCAGTCACAGAGAGCAGCCTGGACAACAGCCTAGTAGCTTCTCAGGAGGTCACTGGCCAATGTGTTGGTGACAAGAGAACAGAATGAGAGAGAGAAGGCTGTACAGACAGGCAGCAGAGACATGTAAACAGGGCTCATGAGTATGATGATAAGTTAAGAGTTTTATTCAGAGCAAAAGGGATGATCAAAGGGCTTAGGGTGGGAAAGTGGATGAGATGTCTTATAGAGATCACTGCAGTAGCAGTGTGGATGGAGACAGGCTCAGAAGGAAGTCAGTGCAGTTTAGGAGAGGTAACAGGCTTGGTAACAGTCATGGCAGTACAGATGAGGAGAAGGGGACACATCTGACATACACTTAAAGAAGTTGGATGTGTGGGGGTGGCAGGCATATAAGGGAGAGGCAGAGGCAAGAACATCGATGGTTCTCTTAGAACACATGGGTTAAGTTGTTTTATCGAACTGGGACTGGAGATAGAGATAAGACCATATATTAGGGAGGAGTTGTAGAACATTTATTTTGAAATATCTATATTATATTAAAAACCCAGGAGCCAGCTGAGGCAGGAGAATGGCCATGATTCTCAGGCCAGCCTTGGGTCCATAATGAGTGCAAGGCCAACCTGCATTACACAGTGAGACTGTGTCTCAAAAAACTAAACCAAACCAATCCAGTAATCATACCTTTTGCAACTATTTAAACTTGAGGTGAACAACCTGAGATACAGCCTTGGAAGTGCAGGAAGTTAAGTCTTATAATACCTCCTCCTTCGCAGCCCCAAAGACAATGTTTTATTGCTATTCCAGATGGCACCAGCCTAAGGCAAGCAGTGTGTACATACACTCTCATTCCAGGCCTGCTGACACCTGGACAGGAGGCTCCTGTTGACCACCTAACTGATGTCTATGCCTCTAGCCACTCCCCCACACCGCCAGGAAGTCACTGTTCTCTTCTTGCCTGAGGTGTGGACTTCCCCTCCCACCCTAAGTAAACACTATCCAGGGAGAGGGGCAGGAGAGAGGAGCCCTTGCCTGTCAGGAGGGCCACCACTCACTGAGGACACCATCTGGCTGGCTAGCCAAATCTGAAGGCTGCCTTTGAAGCTCAGCCATGCTGAGTGGTGCCCTGGATACACCTGGATGGTGAGAAGGAAATACTTACTATTCGGCATGCCCCGGCCTTTGAAGGTCTTGGCCACCACAGCAGTGGGCTTGCCCTTTACATGAGCTGCCTGCCAGAACACATGGCACAGTGCCTCCACGTCACGACCGTCCACCACATAAGTGTTCCACCTGCCAACAAGGAGGCTGAGTTAGCTGGGAAAGGGGCAGAGCAGGGAGGAGGTAAAGCAAGAGAGAAGCTTACCCGAAGGCTTTGCAGCGCTTCTGATAGATCTCGATATAGTGCTCCAGGGGGAAGCTGCTACCGTGCCCCAGGCGGTTCACATCAAAGATGGCCACGAGGTTATCCAGACTGTAGTAGGATGCAAAGGCCAGTGCCTCCCACACGGAGCCTTCTGAGGCCTCACCTTCTCCCAAGAGGCAGAACACCCGGTAGCTGTGCCAAGCCAAGAAAGGGTGAGGAGCCACATGAATAAATGCATCTCAGGGAGAAACCAACAGGTGGACTGGAGACGCTGCTGCAGTTTAGCAGGTCCCTGACACTACTTTCCCCATTAGCTCTGCCTAAGCTACTGAGGAAACAAGGATGCTTTGCAAGTTCAGACTCTCCAGGCATGGTGAGACATTCCCCTAGTACCAGCTATGTGGGAGGATGAGGCAGTGGGATCTCAAGGTTGAGCCCAGCCAGGACCTCAGGAGATGGGTTTTCCTCTCAGCTAGTTTTCCCCTCCCAGATTTAGCTTCTCCAGATGAGCAAGTGAAGAAGCAAGATAAGAATGGGCAGAAAGTAGCTTCGTGGCACATGTATTGCCTTGATTTTCTGTTTTAAAACACTACTACCTTCTATTTCTGGTCTCTATTTACAATAATCATAACCATCCAACATTCTGCCTCAGATGCATATGTTCTGTTTTAAACAGTCAACTCTACAGCAGAAACAACACAAATAGCTATATCAGTAAAACGTACCCTAGACCTCACTACCATGCTGTCAGTCTAAGAAAGAATTAGGTAAGAACTGAGAGAGCCACAGACACGTTGTTTCTACAGACCTATGGAAAAGGGAACAGGATGGCCGACCAAGGATGCAGGAAACACAAGAACTCCCAGCGAGCTCACCACACCTGGCATGGGGACTCACCCTTCAGGGCTCTCCCCACCCCGAGGAGCTAGATGGTGCTCCTCTGAGACCCTTGGAGGGAGGAGCTTCCTGTCCTAGGGAAACTGAACTGAGGGGCTCTAGACTCAGGGCACTGCACACAGCAGAGGGTAGTAGGGACACATGGGACAAGACTAGGAAGGTCAACATGGTCTTGATGCTGCACCAGTAGCTGTTGAGCACAAGGCCCGAAAGAAACACTGATCTGCTTTCAGAAAGGGGAAATTATCCAGAAAAAATCCTTTTTTTCTTAACATTTTGGAGCCCCCATGAATGCATCCCCTCTCCAGCCATGCTTACCAGACAGCATGAGCAGAAAGTGGTCCCCTAGAGAAGCCTCACATTCTAATACATCAGGGCCAACAAGGCAGCTACCACTTGAGAGCCCAACCAGAGAGGTGGGAAGAGTTTCTGTAAACCTGCTTTCTCTACTGTTTCATGCTTGGTGAATGAACTTCCCAAACCACTCTTGTCCCTGCAAAATGAGTGAGCTGCAGAGCCAGAGAGCGGGGTGAAGCAATGCAGCACCTTACCTGGCCCGGTCGAAGTACTTGCCAGTGTATGCCATTCCACAACAGACCCCCAGGCCTTGCCCCAGCCATCCGGTGGCCACATCAACAAACGACAGTCTCTGCAAGACAGAAGGGATTCAATGACCCAAACTGGGTGCAGGCTGGCCCTGCGGCCCCTTGCACCCCACATGTCCCTCAAGTCCCAGGTCAATGTCCTAAGCAGACCCTAGGTCAAGTCTGAGGCCCATTCTAGGCTGAAAACTGGGGTGACCAAGATGAAGAAGCCACTATTACCCATTCTCCCAGGAGCTTTGGAAACACAGAGGAGCAAGCCTAAGTGCAAAGGAACAAACATAAAGCTTTCTAAAGGACTCTTTCCAGCAGGCCCAAACCAGATGGGTTAAGCAGAAACCAAAAACCCTCAAGTCTGTGGATTCTCCACTTTGTAAAGTTCAGGTCAACTGAGCTTGACACTGTACAAGGATCAGCTTCTGTCACTTCCCTGTTCCCCTCTGCTAACGTCCAGCTTGCATGCTCCATGTTACTGCAGTCCCACGAGAACTGCAGCCCATGCTGACGGCTGCTGCTCTGATGAGAGATGCCAACTATACAGTTTACTTCTATAGCCACCATCTCATGTTGGCCACCCACATCCCTAGCCTCTCAATGCAGAGGCCAATGTCCTCCGTTTTCCTCAGCTACCACCCAGGGGCCTGTTTAATCCTAAGCCATTTGCATGGCTCTGCTGTCTGCTAATGGTCTTCTCACCATCTATCCCTGGACTCCCCTTCTTACCCCCCTGAAACACTTGCCTTCTTGCTGCCCCTGAATAGCGGCCACATGCCTACATAGGGGCACAGCTCCCATTTGTTCCAGGCCATTCTTTGCAGCTACCCCCCAACAGCCTTAGACACTCGATCTATTTATTTCCAGGTTTTCTCTCCTCTGCCCCCTGCCTCTGCTCAAATATCAGATTCATGCAAGCAGTAAGTTGTGCATGCCCTTCAGCACTGGGGCAAATGAGGGGTACTTGGCCTTCTCACTGCATTCCTCTGGGCTCCCCTGGCCTGAACTGACACTCTTTCCACACCTTGGACCCCCAATACTCCCTTTTGGTCTGGCACAATGTCCCCCTTAAGTCTTTTCTGCTCACAGCCCTGGCAGCCTTCCTCTTGTGGCCCTTGCCCTTCCCTTTAACCGGTGCCAGCTCCAGCTCCAGCTCCCTCGCATGACCTGCATCCTTTGTGGCAGGATGGAGATGAGTGACCCTCTGAAGACAGACTTGGAAACTGGGTGGGGTCAGCAACATGCCTGCCCTTGGTACAGGGTGGGTGCTATGGGTAGCCAAGAAAGGACACTTCTCTCCAGATGACACTTCTCACCTTTGTACCCACACAAAGTGTGCTTCACAACCATGTTCAAATAAAGGCCTTGGGTTATAGCCCAGGCCTGAGAGAGGAATGGGAGCTTACAAGGCCCTCGGCCCCAGACATCTTCAGCACTACGACAGCTCCAAAGGAATTCAAGAAGGATAGTCACAACACAGCCAGGCCAGGCCTCAAGAGCACCACTGGGGAAGGCCACAATACTGTGCCTGCAGGGCAACCACTCATTCTGTTCCCAGGCCCTGAGGGACTGGGCTTCCTCTTCTCTCACCTTTATCTGCTGTTCCATCTGAAGAATATGACCAGAAAGCCCCTGTCCCCTGTCACTGAAAGGCCATTACTTCAATGGCTGCAGCTACGACATACTACAGACCCGCCCCCTGCCCCTACCCCGTACTGGGGTTTGAACTCAGGACCTTGCACTTGCAAGGCAGGCATGGTGCCACTGAGCTAAATCCCTGGCCAAACCTTTCTTTTTTTTTTCTTTTGATACTGGGGATCAAACTCAGGACCTTGCGCTTGCAAAGCAGGCAGCAGCACCACTGAGCTACATCCCCAGCCCACCTTTCTCCTTTTTTAAACCACAAACTAAATATCCAATTTGTATTTGAAAATGCAATTTTTCTCAATGTTTGCTATGGAAGTTCAAGTTTACAGATTAGTAAGACTAGTCTGATAAAGTCCCATACACCTTTCACCCTGATTTACCAATGGCTTCCAATATACCACCCTATCTCTATCTCCCTCTCTCACCACCCCCATGCTTTGTCAAGCCATTTGAGACACCAAGACAAGGATCACAGTTTTGACCCCTAGGTGTTTTTTTTTTTTTTTTTTGGTACTGGGAATCAAACTCGGGTCCTTGAGCTTGTGAGGCAGATGGTAGCACCACTGAGTCCCCAGCCCTCCCCTAGGTGCTTTTGATTTTATCTTTACACTTATCTGCTCAGGCATTTCTGTTTGCACATGATGGCCTACCAGTGGGCTTTACATTTTTTGTTTAGGACAGCTTACTTTCAGATAGCATCAAGCCTGCCACACAGCCTCAGACCTACTTTTTTTTTAGTGCTTTCTTTCCCATTCCCCAATGTCACGAGGTGGCTGGTACCATACATAGGCTAATGTCAAGGGAAGATCTTCAGAGAAGCAGGAGAGAACTTCACTGATAGGGATGAGATGTCCCTCTCAAAGTCACACTCCATTTCCCCCATGCTCTGCAAGTGGGGTCAACGGACATCACCGATCTCTCTCCTAAGGCAGTACAGGGGATGGGGGCAGGATGGCTCTGACAAAGGGATGTTAGTGTTAGGTGGGGTGAGGTGTAGGGTACTACCGAAGGAAAAACGGACAGCTGGCCCCAGCCATCCTCCTAAATGTCACTTGCTTCACAAGAATACCTTTTAGATCTTTAGAATGAAAAGAGAGAAGATATCAAATGGTAAGAAGGCCATTTCCAGCCCACTGCCACATTGTGGCTTTAAAGGCGGGCTTGACAAGCAAGCAGCAGAGCCCCCCAGGGCCCCAGCTGGCATACCTTGGAGAGGATGAAGCGGTCATTGTTTGGATTCTCTAGGTCCCACTGTTTGTATCTCATGGTGTAAAAGAACAGCACAGACATGATCTCGGCAGAGCTGCTGCATGATGTGGGGTGGTGGCTGAAAGACAGACACAACACAAATCATTTCTCTGAGGTCAGTGACTCCAAAAGGACACAGTACATGAGGCTATCTTTCAGCACGTGGTCTCCTGGGATCACAAGCAGTGGTCATCACCTCTCCCAGCCGAGAAGAACCTATCTGAGCATAAGGGTTACAGAGTGCAGTAACTCCACACCCTCCCATCCTGCACACAGCCCCCTTTACCACTGGGTACCTCATGTGCCCAATGCAAGTTCACCCCAGTTCACTTGAGGTGGATGCTTCCACCTGCATAGAAAGCACCATAAGCATCATTAATCAGATCCCATTCTACTACCCTAAATGAATTTCTCACAGAAAGTGAATGGGGAAAGACAGAAATTTCTTATGGTTCAGTAATTGGAGTCTTTCCTGAATCTCAAAATAACTGCTGAAAGTTTTTAATTAAATAGAACAGAAGGGAAAGGACAGGGGACAAGAATTATTCCCAGAAAATATTTTCCCATTACTTACCTGACAGAGGGTTAACATCCAGAATATACAAGAACTTAAACCATAAATCATCCAATTAAAAATGGGCAAATGATCTCAGATACTTTTCAAACAAGAAATACAAATGCACGGGACACATGTTCAGTATTAGCCACCAGGGAAATGCAGATCAAAACTACAAAAAGGATTAAGATGTAGCTCAGCAATAGACTGTTTGCTTAGGGCCTGGGTTTGAACCAAATACAATACCCTTCACAAAAGAATTAAAAGCATCATGCCACAGTGACACCTGCACATCCATGTTTATAGAAGCACAATTTCTAATAGCCAAATCTTGGAAACCACCCAAATGCCCATCAACTGACGAATGGATAAGGAAGATGTGTTTTTTTGAGACACAGTCTCACTATGTAGTGAGACTGACCTGGAACTCTGTAGCTCAAGCTGGTCTCGAATTCACAGCAATCCTCCTGCCTCAGCTTCCCAAGTGCTAGGATTACAGGCGTGTGCCACCACGCCTGGCCAAAGAAGATGTGTTTTTTTTATACAACAGAATACTACTCTGCCATAAAGGATGAGCTTCAGTCATTTATAACTAAATGAATACACCTTGAGCCCATACGCTTGAGATAAATCAAACATTTAAATAATGCATTGTTTCTCTGGTGTGAGAAACTCAAAGTGAAAGACTAAAATGTATAACAGATATTGGGAAGTGGGAATAAAATGTTCAAATGGGAATGGGAACAAGGGAGGGGGGAAGGAAGAGAAAAAAGTGAAAACAGAAGGGAAAAATGGAAACAAAGCTTTTGTACATAGGGAGGAGAGAAATGGGAAAAAGAGGCAGGATATATCATGTACAGGTGCAAATTCCCTATAATGAGTTATCATCATGTATATCTAAAACGTACCAATAAATGTTTGGTAAAAAAATTACAATGATACCCTCTCAGCCCAGTTAGAAGGGCTACTAAAACTGGGTGGGGTGGCATATGTCTATAATCTCAGCACTTGGGAGGCTGAGGCAGGAGGACTGCCCCAAATCTGAGGCTAGCCCGGGCTACCTAGAACATTCAAGGTCAACCTGAGCTACATAGTGAGACCCTACCTTAAAAAACAAACAAACACAAAACAAACCAGTATGGAAGTTTCTCAAAAACCTAGCCTGTAATGCCAGCTACTCAGGAGGCTGATGCAGGATGATCACAAGCCATAGCCCAGCCAAGGCAATTTAATGATTTAGCAAGATCCTATCTAAAAAACAAACAAACAAACAAACAAAAAACACCCAAAACAAAACAATTATCCAGCTATTCCACTTTTTAAAAAAAAATTTGTTTTGAGAGTCTTACTATGTACCTCCAGGTCATCCTTGACCTATGTAGTCCAGGCTAGACTTGAACTCATGATCTTCCTGCCTCAGCCCTCCATACCATGCCCAGCTCAGGTATCCCACTTCTAGGTATATATACTTAAAAAAAATGAAAGCATACCAAAGAGACGTCTGCTCTCCTGTTTACTGTGGCACTATTCACAATGGACAAGATGTGGAATCAGCTTAAGTGTCCATCAACAGGTAAATGAAGAATACATATGCATGACAGAATATTATTTAGCCATATAAAATCTGACTCCAGATAAAACAGTATGGTATTGGCACCAAAACATACATGTCAATCAATGGTACAGAAAAAGAAAATGTACAAACAGCCCCAGAAATATTTGGCTATCTGATCTTTGACAAAGGGGCCGAAAGCACACAGTGGAGGAAAGACTGCCTCTTTAATAAATAGTGCTGGGAAAACTGGCAATAAATCTAGACCCATATTTCTTACCATGCACTAAACTAAAATCAAACTGGATCAAAGATCTAAATGTTAGCCAGATGTGGTGGTACATACCTAAAATCCAAGCACTCTGGAGGCTGAGGCAGGAGGATTGCAGTGAGTTCAAGGCCAGCTTGGACTGCACAGTGAAACTGTCTCAAAAAAAAACCACTACCACCAACAAAAAACAACTAAATGTTAAAACAACACAAAGTAAAACTCTTGAAGACAGGCCCAGGCAAGGAGTTTCTGAATAGAACCCCAAATGCAAAAGAAGAGCAAGAATCAGCAGTTGAGATCATATCAAACTAAAAAGCTTCAGGACAAACAACCATGTGCGAACAGACAGCCTACAGATTAGGAAAACAATTTTGATACCTACACCTCAGAGGACTAATATTCAGAACACATAACTAAACTAGGGACAGGGATTTAGCTTAGTTGGCTCCATTACCTGCCTCATAAGCTCAAGGTCCCGAGTTCAGTGCCCAGTACCAAATAAATACATAAGCAAACTAAAAAAACAAAATAAAACTAACCAGACCCCCCCAATAAAAGACCCAATCAAAAAGTGGGTAACACTTTGCAGAAGCATAAATAACCAATAAATACATGAAAAATGTTCAACACCTCTGGCTATCAAAAAATGCAAATTAAAACACTGAAATTACATCTTCCTTTAGAAAGAGTGGCCATGATTTTAAGAAATCAATAGGCATGGTGGCACACGTTCGTAATTCCAAGACTGCAGAGGCTGAGGCAGGATGGCTGTGAGTTCGAGGCCATCCTGGAGTACAAAGCGAGAAACCCTGTCTCGAGGGGCAAAAACAAACAAGCAAAGCTCTGGAGCTGAGGCTGGGCGGAGGGGTGGGGTGGGG